TACTTGCTTTAAAAATGTGGGGGTTTTAATCATTAACCACATATTTGGGTTATAAAGGCTTTGACCTGTTCATCACTCTTGCTTTGAAAGAGCCCAACATACATGCACAGGAAAATGTCCTTAGCATGAAATGGAGAACGTGGGGCCTTGAGGCAACATTGATGAATGAGCCAATTTCTCACATGCTTACTGCAAAGTGGGAAGGAGCAAGGGATTACTGGCAAAGTTATTGGCAGCTCTCACGGTCAGAGAGTCTGTTAGTCACGCAGGTGCGTTTTAGGCACATTTGCTGTTCTTTGCGGCTGTAGAAGTGGCAGGGAAGCCTATGTGAGAGAGGCAGGCCCATAACTGCCTGAGCAGGTAGGAAGAGACGTGGCACTTTAACAAGGATGTTGTATATGTGTTCCAGACTAGGCACTTTGACAGCCCCTACCTGGTATATCACGAGAAAATCAAGACCAGCCGCGTGTTCATTCGGGACTGCAGTATGGTGTCAGTGTACCCACTGGTCCTGCTTGGAGGCGGGCAGGTTCACATGCAGCTGCAGAGGGGAGAATTTGTCATTTCTCTCGATGATGGATGGATACGGTTTGTGGCTGCCTCTCACCAGGTAAGGAAAGGGAGGGGTAATCCTGAGACTGCTGCCGAGCTGTGTTTGTGTTTAGAATGCAGGAGATGCATTTCATGAGCCTTATGCTCGCCTCTATGTTTTACCATGTGTGTTAGGTGGCTGAGCTGGTGAAAGAGCTGCGCTGTGAACTAGACCAGCTGCTGCAGGATAAAATCAAGAATCCCAGCATGGATTTATGCATGTGCCCCCGTGGATCTCGGATCATCGGTATGATTGTAAAGCTTGTGACCACGCAGTAACATGAGACCAGCTTACTATAAAGACTTGCTGCTGCTGCTGCCTGAGAACAGAGCAACATCAGTGTCTTGAGGTATTTGTTGTCCCAAAACATGGCGCTGATCTCTGAAAGACAAAGTTGACAACTGTACTAGTAACAGGTTTTTGGGGTTTTGTGTTTTTTTTTTTGTTTGTTTGTTTGTTTGGGTTTTTTTTAATCTTTGTTTGCAGAGAACTTGCTTGTTCAAAGTAAGGTGGTTTGCAGTACACTCTGGGAAACAGGAAAATGGCCAATCTCCCAGGAGGAATACAAACCTCCATGTAAGAAAGCAAAGTGGTTTTTTTTTTTTTTTTGTTGTTGTCCCTTTTTCCCATGAGGCTATACACTGGCAATAGTGTTTCCTGGTCATAAAAATACCTGCTACCTAGCTGCTGCTTGTAATAGTAACGTCTGGAGGCAGCATGTGACATCATCAGCTGCTCCCAAATTGGTTTAAATGCACTTCTACATTTTGGCCAAGACTTGACTGTGGTGTAGTCAGTCTTGGCTGACCAGGGATCAGATCAGTTTGCTTATGGTTCAACCCAAAGCCCTTATACAAGTGAGCACCTTTTGATTCATGTCAAGGGGGTGCCAGAACAGATTCAGGGTGTCCTCTGGCAAGTATCAGTTGGAGCAACTTGTTGGATTGGTGCAGGCTGTTGTGGTTACAGTGTCAAACTGCAGGAGCCTGATGTTTCCCCTGAAAGCTGGGCTTTTCCAGCCCCCTGTGCTGTGAAAAAACAACCAGATGACATGGATTGCTGTAGTGCATTAAAAATGGACCCTTGGGTGGATGGTACTGCTTTCTGTTAACCTCTTCTGGCAGGTGGTAGTACTTCTGCAACCCTGCACAGCTGGAAGAAAGTCCCACTTTTGTAAACTTTTAGCTAAACTCCTGCTCTGGGGAGTAGACTGCTACAGAAGAATGTGGCAAAAACACCTCAGTAATAATGAACTATTACTTCTTTCCTTCAACACTGTTTAATTGCAATGCTAAGCATTGCTACAGCTGAGCTGCTTGATGTATTACTAAAAATTGCAAATAATAGTATGTGCCTTAACTGAATTAATTTTGCTGCCATCTGTAATAATAGTAAAACCAGAGTGAACACTGTCTCTACCAGCAGCCCTGCCTAGAAGTAGCCTTCAGGCTGAGGAATAATGAGCTGTGGGAGCCATATTTGGGCACTAGTTTGATGTTTCAAAACACATGAACATTTGTGGAAGCAGTTTCACAGCAACACACCTATGCACAAGGATGACAGGAGTACCAAGACTAATGTAAAAGTGCAGTAGAACGGTCTCTGCAGGGATGTTGAACAGCAGAAGGCTGAACTGTACCTATAGCTTAATGTTGGCCAACAGTAGCACCATACTCCTGTAACTGCACACCTGGATGCTTGGGGTTTGTGGGTTTTTGGTTTTTTTTTTTCCCTGAGGTTTAGTGAAGAGCTGTGAAGGCCAAGGAATCCTGAAGCAGGGTATTAAAGTACTGCAGAGGTATATGGAGTGTGTTGGCAGCTGTTTGTTAGTGCTGTGTGAAGCAGGACTGTTAGACAGTGTTGCTTCTGCAGGTGCCTGGTGGCCATGCCAGTAAGGGTAAGCGAGTAACAGTTCAGATTGGAGTGAAATAGGAACAGATTCCATTTTTCACTTCAGACTTCCATCTGCTTTCAAAGCTGTATCCTCTTAATAAATGACTTTTCAACCAGCAGAGTACTGTGGTTTGGATGGAAACTACTGTTCAAGCAAGGTCTGGGTGTCTCTCCCCCCACGTACATGCTAAATTCCACCTGAGCTATCCTGAAGTGAAGGTGAGGGCAGGGAGTTGATGATGTAGCAGGTGATAATTAACAGCATCCACCCTGCTGGAGGGAGGACTTGTGAAATGTCTTAGTGCCTTGCCTTGATGGTAGACTGGGCAAGCCTGGGAAGGGAATAAAGGACACATCAATAGATACAATCAAAATATGACAAGGGATAGTGAACTGGTTGCATACCCATCAGGTCTCACCCCCTGGCTGCAGGGCCATCTGTTACTTTAGGAGGGTTTCTATGTAAGAGTGCCAAAACATGCTGCCTTCCCACTAATTACATATGTGCTAACTGGGCACAATGGTTTTATTACTTGCTTCCTTCAGCAGGGCCAGTCCATACCACAGCTCCATTTACCCTTAAGAGTAAAGGCAGTCCAATGCCTGGTGAACACCAGAGGCAGAGCAGCCTACCTGCTGTAAGCCCTCCACAGTGCAGCTGGGCCTGCCTTTGAGACAGGAGTTTCTACCAAGGGGACAAGACCCACATTAAATACAGGTAACAAGCAACAAACACACTGGCAGTGCTACTATTAATTACCATAGGCCTCCCTGGGAGGTATCAGAGCCATCCCCCCCCCACCTCCAGCAGCAGCTGAAAAGCAGTTCCTTCTCCAGCCTCCTCCCTGGGAACTGCTGACCAAAGCTTGCCCATAGTAACCCTCCTTCCAGTCCTCCTCCTGCTCTACCCCAAGCACATGGATACAGTCCCAACCTCCTCCCTTTTTTTTAATACTGTAATGAGTGGAAAGACTGAAAAAGAAAGGTCTCGGTGGTAGAGTTTTAGTCTACAGGTTTATTGTGGAGCAAGCTTGCTTCAGCAGTACAGAGGAAAAAGGAAAAGCTGCCCCCTTTGAAAGGACTGTTGCACAGTGTAATTCTACCATTCATGCTGTAAACTGCAGCAGGGCAGGAAGAAGGGATACTCCCCCCAGCAGTCTAGCAATGGCTTTTGGGTCACCCTACTCTAATGCTATTGCTTCCAGTTCCCTCTTCTGCAGCTTTTAATGGACTATGGTTATAACCAAAGATTAATTGCAGCATCACCAGCAAGGAAAGCCACTTATCCTACTAAGCACCAATGCATTAAAATGTACAAACATGGGGAAGAGAGAGGAGAGGAGGGACAAGACAAATACATGTTGTAGTACAAATGAAGAGTCTTTGTGAAGTCATGTATAGCAGTTCATTATCATTCTTTTAATACTTGGACATTGTGTAAAGCAACAATGACCAAAGTTCATCTGAAAACCTGGGGTTGGGTGCCCATGCCCAGCTGCAGTGCTCTACTCTTAACAGTAGAGCATCAACCACTGCTGATAGAATTCCTGTTCCTCCCTGGCCTGTAAGAGACAGCAATACAGGTCAGAACATCCTTCTGCAAAGAAGACTTAAGTCAAAATCATCTGGTACTCCCCTTTCCTTACTAGTCTGATAATAGCCATTATCAGCTGCAAAGACAAATACCTTGCACTAGTTTGTCATGCTTGTATTAACTCCTTCAGTAACCAATCTGTCATGAGATAGGGACCACCTGTACACAGGCAGCTACGGTCATTTCCCAAAGCAACAACTGAGCAGGACAGCAGCGAGTTCACTGGTTACACCTCACTGCCAGAGGAGATGTGACATGAGCTCTTGACTTGCAGGTTCTTGCTTAATTTCTTAAAAAGGGTATCTAAATGTATTGTCTTCTGCACCAGAACTACCATTTTACCATATGTATCACAAAGAAGTAGTACTATTTGGACAAGCAGGACATAAAACAAGATTTCTAAAAATATTTACTTCAATAATTTACATTCCAGAAGTATTCCAAATACCTTCAGGTGAGAAGTTCATTGGTCCTTTAAATAACAGGACAGACAAGACCAGCATTCACACATTCCTTGTTGGTTTTTTTTCCCCCCTTTGTCTGTTAATGCCCTTTGTCAACACTTTTAAGTCAAGCCATCCAGTGTACAAACAAGCACCTCCAGACAGGTTTTCAGCTTCACTGAGCTTTGAGGAGGTGCAAATAAAAACACAAGGTACAGATAACTATAACATTCACAACCAAACAGTAAGAACAACAGCTGATACTGGTAACTCCTCACTCTAATCACTGCTCTGAAGGAACCAAGCCCTACCACAGGCACACAACCTGCAGGACAGCCCTTGACCAGCTGCTGCACTACACTCAGTTCACAAGTGCCTGTAGCAGCCTGCCTCCTGCTTTTCGACATAGTAACACATGACCTGCTTCAGCTACCCAAATATTAACAGAAACAGCAGGGTTATCACAAAATATTTCTTCTTTAGAAATGCACAGTTTATTTCAATGCGCCAATAAAAAAAGCCCAACATTTCCAGATCACAGAACATTAACACAACAAAAGAGTTTTGCGTTAGTCTGCTAATAAGACTTTTAAAAGATCCAGATTCATGCCAATTGTTAGTCAATAGAAACAGCCTTCTAGGACTAAGCCCTTACGTTTATAAAGACACCACAAAATCCCTTATAATAATGTAAACAAAATAAATTTTCTTCTTAAACTTTTTAAATTTGAATCCATTATTTCAGGACTTGCACTCCTTCAAGGGCTTCCTGATGGTGAATGACTGAAATGGAAAGAAAAAGATTAAGAGCAATTCCTAGAGCAAAACCAACAGGAACTATGCACACTACCCCAGGTCTCCTCTGCTCAAGAGCCCTCCCCAAGTTCTTTTCATCTACAGTTCATGAATAATGAGAAAGGTATTATGTTTTACATCTTTGTCAGTAACAACTGCTTTAAGCTTGCAAAGGGCAGGCAAAATAAGAGACATCAGCTACAACTGTGAGGCAAGACCTTGAGCCTGCACTCCAGCTGTGCAAAGGAATTCTTCCTCTGCCATAACCTACATAGTGCCTCATGGCCAGCCCTAAACCATGACCATCTCAAGACTATATAAATTCCTGGTTACATAGGAAAGCTTGCTTCTTACTTCACAGTGCATAGCAAAAGTTG